CTTGGACCAACGACGACAATCCCCTCGATTTGAATTGCCCACCGGCTTATTTTCGAAGCCAAAGAAAAATGATAAGCAAGACCATGCATGACTTATGACTCGAGCCAAATCGAACCGGCGTGTTGAACAACCTGAACAACCTGAACGCAGCAAGTCCACGCGCGGACCTTCCGCCAGCGAGTCTTTGTAGCTTGCGGCTGATTTGTACAAATGCTGTAACGAGTCCAGGATCTATTAGCTGGCATGGTAAGCTTTTCAAAAAGAATCCGGCGCCATTAAGCATACGACAAGCTCACGGCCACCTCTTGTCTTTCCCGAACTACGGCGAAGAACGTCGGCCTATGATAGGGTCCGTGCCCCAGATAGCGGCAGTAAAATCTGAGGTGACTCGTTCGGTCCAGACTGAAAGCAAAGAAAGCAAGCAGAGTGGATACAAACCTCCCGCCATCGAGTCATCCATAGCCTGCAGCGATATCATACCAACAGCACCGGAGATTGGGTGTTGTTCGCCCCAACTTTAATTTTATTTATTGCCTGTTTAATGATCTTTAGTGGGATCCCCCGCGGTGAAACTACGAACGCATAAACCGCTTGTAGCCTCTCCCAACTCTCATGTAGATGTTCACGCCTTGCCACAGGACCATTTTGGTTTCCGGCCTCTCTTATCCCAAACTGAAAGCAAGGGAATTGAAGCCGGATAAAAACGTCGAAATTGAGCTACTATAGTACTATGACCGGAGCCCAGATCGAACAGGCAACTTCCAGAGATCAATTGCTCCGTCAAAGTGTTATCCAAGGTGGACGCGAAACATGGCATCAGGTCACTTCATGGCCTACAGCTAGGTTGGCAAATGCGCTAGAAATCGGGCCTTGCACGTCGTTCCTGTTGGAGGAATCAAACTGGTGCAGCAACTCGTGCGTTCACTTGCATCGCCGTGGCACATTGTGTGCCTTGTGTGCGAGAGAACGGGAAGAAAAAAAAACGGCTCCAACACCGGCATCCATGACTCGACCCCGAATCGAACGGGGAACATCTACAAATTTCATCGGCGGTATCTTATGCAAAGTGGACGCGGACCTCCCGCCACCGAGTCTTCCATGACCTGGATGAGGTCGAATAAATTGCGCAGCAGATTCAATGTTGAGCGATTCAGGTGATGATAGCGCTGGTTTACCTTTCCCTCCTACTCCTAGGCTGACTTCCAGCTCTTTAGCCTTTACGGCGAGATAAGAATTTAATTACCTTCTGTGCGGTAGGTGACTGACGCCGCACGGCTGCCCCCAGAAAACCCCTTTCACACAAAAAGATTCGTCTTCAAGTTGGCCATAGGACTCGAGCCCGAATCGAACAGGCAACATCCACGAATGCTGTACACTATACCCAGAACCCGAAGTGGATGCGGACCTCCCGCCACCGAGTCTTTCCTGACTTGCATTAACGTTGAATAAATCACGCAGTAAATTCTATTCGCGCTGGTCGAATTTTACTCAACTTCTTACGACTTTCACCGTCGTGTCGGACTGGAATTCGAATGCTATCTTCGGCGTGTTATCTGTGCATTCGCGCCGCACGGCTGCCACATCAGGCAAAACAAAAACTTCTCCAGACCAATGACTCGAGCCCGAATCGAACGGGCAACCCCCACAAACGCGCGATATATGCGCATGCAGCACTCAAAGTAGATGCGGGCCTCCCGCCATCGAGCCATGTATTGCAGTGAGGTTAAACAAACGGTAGACGATCTTTTACTTCTAGAATTTTTTGACGCTGCGGCCCGCACTCCGCCCATGCGCTCAAGTGTACCGGCCGTCTAGCTCAGTTGGTTACAGCGTCGTGCTAATATAAGGTTTCTAACGGATGTATTTACGCGACTTTTCCTCTTCGTGCCCTTTCACCCTGTTTTTTCCTCGGGACCACCACGTTGGGCTGGAACGTTAGTGGCGTATTCTGCATGATGTGCGTTGACGGCTGCCCTGGAATGGCAGAGAAAAAGAAAAGGCTTTCTTTCTAATGACTCGAGCCGGAATCGAACGGGCAACATCCACGAATGATTCAGGAAGCCTTCAACCCAAAGTAGACGCGGACCTCCCGCCATCGAGTCTTTCGCGGCCTGTAGTGAGGTTGAATAAATCACGCACCAGATCATATCCGTCGGTCGATTAATCTCCTGCCCCTTCGGCTGTATAGCAATTTATCTGGTACTGCACATCAGGAAAAACCCCCAATTGAAATTGTGGGAAAACCGTGGACATTTTTCGACAATACTACAACAGCGACATTCTAGCGAATTGTCAAAGAAATGTTGCCGATTCTCCAACAATTGTTCGACATTTCGTGATCAATCCCATCAAAAGCGGTTGACGGTGTATTTCCGAGGCTAGCAGTGCTCAACGTTCTCTGATAGTCTTTTAAAACACACAGTTGACTCTAATAAGTCCAATGCCAAGTTTACCCAAAATGCAACTTCGCAGAATTCAGCACAAGTCATTCAAACTCCGCTCGGCAAGTTCAAGCGGCGGCAATCTCACGAGTTCGCCGATCAAAGACATCACAGAACCAAATTTTGATGCTTGACGGGGCATTCTTCGTTCTTTCTTCCACCACCACCGTTCCGTGCCATCCACCTCGCATGGCCCTCTCTCAGCCCCTCGCCTTTCTGGGGACGGGTGGCCGCCTGCGTGTTCTCTTCGCCTTCACCCACCTGCCTGCGGACGAGCTGGCTATCGCCATCGGGGACTTGGCGCACTTGCGTGACGCGGACGTCTTACCTCTATCGTCCTTACTATCATCCGTAGTCTTCGTGGTCCGTCATCGAGGCTACCCAGTGCTCATAGTGAGTCCTCACACAGTTCTCGTGCTTCTTCGCTGTGATGACTTCTTGACCAGATGTCGCCCCGGCGGGCAGTTGTTTAGCAGCGACGTCAACCCGCCTTAATCCTGCGGCAGCGCATTTCGACTCCCGAAAGTCATTGCCTTTCACCGCTCCCTTCGTCTCTAATCAATGTTTTCTGCAGACCAATGTGCATAGTTAGCTGCCCTGCTTTCCTGCTGGTGAGTCGGGATGTCGGCGTCTTCCCTTCCCTGTTTTGACCCTCGCATATTCGGGCTTTCCCACCGCTTAGTGCCCCTGCATTCGGTTCTGCCGGTGACACACAATGCATTTACAGGCTTCTCGGCAATGCGCTCAAAGGCTTCTCGACGTTGTTTGTGAAACAGATTATGCTAAGTTTTGGTCCGTTCCTAGTTATCTATGCTACCTTTCACTGACCTGATGTCTGATAGACGGGGCTCAAGAGCTGACCCAGTACCGATCATTTGCGAACGCGACAATGTCTGCTTTCTCTGGACAGCGGATGCCGACGATCCATCGGCTCTATGGTATGTGTATCAACTTTCATCTCATACCGTCACTGAAATGTATGTCGCTGTAGGGTTCCCATCGTACATTCGGCGGAACGCTGCACAACTCACCATCCCCTCATCCACATTCAAGTGCACTCTTTCACCCGTGGCTCTCTTATTCCGGCATCATCCACGATCTCTCTGCTGATGAACGGTATGTTGTGACGTCCACATTCACCACATCAGAATCCTTACATGCCATTAGACCACTCACGCCATATGGACCTCCCTGTGTGCTTCATCATTTGCAGGAGGTGTAGTTGTGCTCGGGGCGGAACGAGTGGATAGATGATTGCTGTTTCTTGTACTTAGGTAGTCTTGAATACCATTCTTTCCTCCTCCGCCTCCTCCTCCTTTGACCTGGAAACACGCTTCAATCATTCACATTCATATTGTATTGGACGCTATTGGACGGCATTTGAGATGAAATGCGCGCAATTGTCTTCAAACTGTCTGACAATTGTATGGATTTTTTTTGGACTGAATGATTTCCACATTTTCACAATTTTGCACAAAATGTTAGAAATGTTGAGAACATCCGACAACTCCAGAGAGTTTCCTATGACGTTCGGAACGTTGCATAAATAGAATCCGAAGAAAAATTGGTGGTTGGAGAAAGTTTTTCTTCTCGGATGGCAAATTTGTCTGAAACTGTATACCTGCATAGCATACCAGCTGTGTGTACTTGCTGTCAGAGAATTAGACCTCTGGCACAACGAACAGGAAGCCAACGAACAACATCAGAGGCATTTGATGGTGGCCGGGATTTCCCGGTGCACGTTCAATATCCAACCCCAGCGCAGTTTGTGGTGAACAATGTTCTAAAGGGTACATTATACGTCTACATTGCCTACCTTTGACAATTGACAGCCCATCGCACCATACACGAGGTTATTTATTTTCCACGGCGGGCAGACAATACCTACAAATTTATTGTCGGATCGGGAACTTGCCGAGCTTGTCGGAGGGTTAACGCAAGTCCAATACCGGAGAACACCTGTAAAACTTGGGCTTTAGGATACAATTGGGCCACAGATACCAGTTTGGACTTTTACGTGCCCCGGAAAATCCCGGCCACCATCAAATGTGTGGTTGGCTTGGCTGTTCATCGTCTTGGAGGCCTATTCCTTCAAAACTGAGCACACATAACTTGTTAACTAAATTGTGGAAACAACAAAACTTATCCTCACTTGATGTTTGCAACGTTCCGAACGTGATAGTTTCCGCCAAATTCCTATGGGGGATTTTCCTGATTGGCAACTGGTGTTTAGGCTGAACTGCATCCTCGGGTCGCACTCCCTTCCCTTGTGTACGATAGGAGGGGAAGAGAACAAAAAATGACTGTTAGCCGCAGAAGATATGACTTGAGCCCGAATCGAACGGGTGATCCACAAACTGTATTTTAGGCAAATTGGATGCGGAGCCTCCGCTACCGAGTCTCTCGTGGCGGGCCGTGAGGTTGAACAGAAGGTGCAGAAATTCGTTGCTTTTGGGGTGTTATTTTTCGCAATGGGGTTTCAGACCGTCCCTGTATGTTCAGCTTTTCTTTTCTTTTCTTCCCCGCGCCCCGGACTCCGCCAGTTAGGAGATGTGTACCGGCCGTCTAGCTCAGTTCGTTAGAGCGTCGTGCTAATATGTCACAGACATCATATCATTTACGCGAAGGTCTTGGGTTCGACCCCCACGATGGCCATTAGAACGAATAACGATTTTTTGCCTTTTGCTCTCATACCTCTCTATGTTTTTCAGGTACCCCCGCCATCGCTCCGCCCTTCCACGTCGTTCCATTTTTTTTTAACCCAGCGTCGTCTGCCAACTAACCTTATCCGAAGTGGACCCGAACCTTCCGCCATTGAGCCATTTATGGCTTGCAGCTGAGTTTGACAAAGGCACCAGAAATCGGGCGTTATCTTCACGTTCACGGTTCCTGTCATTCTGTGCCTTGATTTTTTTTCCTCGTACCCCTAAGTTTCTTGGCTCCCCCGATCTTTTGTCCAGCCCAATTCAATTCTGGATTGTGCGGTACCTGGCACTGTAAGTAAGCGGTAAGACGGATTCAATGGCATAGAAAAAGAGAAACAAAAACGACCGTACGAACCTGATATGACTCGAGCCCGAATCGAACGGGCGACATCCACGAATTTTATCGGCCAACTTCTCAACTCAACGTGGATGCGGGCCGCCATCGAGTCATGTTTGAGTTGAAGTGAGGTTTAATAAATTGCACAGTAAGTAAATTCATCATTAGCGCTGAGAGGTTCAATTTGGGTGCAATTTGTTGATAGTGCTGGTGTCACTTTACTTCCTAGGTTGACTCTCTACTCTGTACCCTTTACTACAAAATAAGGATTTATCTTCCTCATAATATCGGACTCACGCCGCACGGCTACCAGTGTCATAGAAGGTTATGTAGAAAAGGATTCGTCTTCAAGTTGGTCGAGCCCGAGTCGAACGGGCGACATCCACAAATGCGTCCATACCCTCCAGGAACCCAAAGTGGATACGGACCTTCCGCCATCGAGTCTTTCCTGGCCTGCAGTGAGGTTGAACAGAAGGTGCAGAAATTCGTTGCTTTTGGGGTGTTATCTTTCGCGCCAGGTTCAGACCGTGTATGTTCAGTTCAGTTCAGTCCCTGTATGTTCAGTTTTTGTTTCTTCCCAGCGCCCCACACTCGGCGACTCGCCACATGTGTACTGGCCGTCTAGCTCAGTTGGTTAGAGCGTCGTGCTAATATATGCTTAGAAAATGTTATATTAACGCGAAGGTCTTGGGTTCGACCCCCACGATGGCCATAGGCATTTCCTCCCTTTTTTCTCGTGTGCGCTTATTCCTCTCGTGTTTTTCCGTTTAGCCCCCTTGGCCCTAGTGTTGCCGCCGGCTGGCTACGGCTGGCTCGGTTCGGCTAAGCCGCCCGAGCCGTTGAGGCCTGGCGATGGTGGACTTCAAACTGAAGGTTTCCAATGCAAGAGACCTTATTTGGGTCTCTGAAGTCGCAAATTTTGAAGGTGCGTTGGTGATAGTTCTCGCTCAAATCAATCGGCTCGGAACCGGCTAGCCGCCGGAAGCCGAGCCGCGGCAACACTACTTGGCCCTTCCAACTTCCCCTCAAGAACGGCATCGTCTTTGCGCCGCGCCGCTCGCCGACCCACGCAATCTTTTGATTCTCAGTCTGAGAATTGAACCTCCGTGAATACTTGACACGTCACGGCGCGTGACTCTGCACCCACACCATCTCTTACCCTGCGGCGAAGCGCCGAAGTGGTCATTTCCTACGGTGCAACGTGTTCTCCTAATAGCTATTGAGCCTGAGTAGCTATGTAGTCCGTCTCAGGCTCCTGTGAGTCCTTAGGCTACCGCGGTCCGCTGTTATCTAACCACAGCTTCCTGGCTCAAAGTTGCTCTTTCTAGCTTTCTTCTGAAGCCTAAGTCGCCCCTCTGCTGTTGGTGTGCAACAAACGGCAGAAATATCGACAGGGCGACGTCCTCGACGCGTTGTGCTGCGGACTTTGCTGCGGAGTTTTTATTCCCAAGTTCCCCGGATCTCCACATCGAAGCCCATTGTCGCCGCGCCCTCGACGCCGGATCATACCGATCACAAGCATAGGGCACGTTGCCAGGGCGTGTTACGCCTAAATTTATCGATTCGGATGATATCTGCCCGCCTCTTATAGCACCCAGTCCACTGCCCGTGCGCGCACTCTTCCTCTCCCTCCACGTCGACCTCCCACTTTCCCCATTTCCATGTACTCCAGCAGCACCCCGCTGTACGGTGCCCCCCGCCCGATCGTCTCCGATGGGAGTCGCAGCCCCAATCTCGCGAGCTTCGAGGTGGAACACGTCTCGCGCCCGCCGTCTGCGATGGGGAATCGGTCGCCCGCGCAGCCTGCAGTGGACCCGGAATTCGTCTATCGGGAGCACGTTTCGAGGCTCATTGGCGCCAAGTCGCGGCCGTTTACTGTGTCAGGGAGGATCCCGCTCGATCCTTCGCAGTTAGTGCTCTTCTTTCGGTCCAAGGCGCGCGATCATTTTTCTTTTTAATTGTTATGCCCAAGTTCGATTCCAACTGTACGTCTAGACTGGTATAACCCATTCCCTTGACTTCCCCATCGACATGGACTACGGCTCTCCGCCTGCGCTCGATGTCCTCATCGCGGCATGCAAACGCACGCAAACGCCCGGCTACGATCCCAGCCTCTACGAAGCCTTCCACTACCCACCCACGCTCCCACTCACACCGTCCCTCGAAATCGCCAACCACCCCATCCTCGACGCCATCCGCAACACGCTCTTCCCCACGCTCCCCGTGGGCCACTACCTCACCGTCCGGCGCGAGCGCCTCGACGTCCTCCTCGCCGGCAGCCGCCTCCCCCCGCAACCGCGCACTGCTAGCGCCCTGCGCCCATCGACCGACGGGCGCCTCGCGACCCTGTGCATCACCCTCCCGGTGCGCTTCCGCGGCGGCTCCATGCTGATCCGCGACGCGGAGGGCAGCGGCGAGAAGCTCGACACGGCCGCGCCGACGAGCGACCTCGAGTGGACGGCGTTCCTCGGCGAGTGCGAGTACGAGGTCGACACGGTCACGCATGGGTGTCGTATGAGCATCTCGTATGCGGTGTTCGCGAAGTCGTTCGGTGGGGGTGGTGGTGCGGGTGCGGCGGGTGTGCCCGGGGCGGACCCGCTGTTCACGCCGAGCCAGCCGTTTTTGGATTTGTTGCCGCCGGTGCTGCAGATGTCGCGCGGGCGGAGGATTGGGTTCTTACTCGCGCACGATTACGATGTCGATCCGTCTGTGATGCTTGCCGAATCGCTTGTTCCATTCGTGCGTCCCTCCTTCCCTCCTTCCCTCCTCCTATTTTCGTTCACTGACGCACGTTTATTACAGCTAAAAGGCGGCGACTCCGTCCTCTACCAGTCCCTCAAGCTCTACAAGCTCGCGCCCGTCCTGCACTGGAGCGCCGGCGGGTACATCTGGCCCGTCGACCGCCCCGTCGAGATCTTCAACGACGAGCCCGCCCCTCCTTCTCAATTGCCCGTCCCCCTCCCGGCGTCCCTGGGCGGTCCGATGCCGATGCTCTCCTCGCCGTACCCCTCCCCGCCCACCGCGCACGCACACGCGCAGCCCCGTGGGTTGAACGGATCCCCGCCGATGCGCGGGATGTTTAGTAATTCGCCGAATATGAGTATGCCTGGAGCTGGGGGTATGTCGAACAACATGAACATGCCCAACAACATGCCCGGCGCCAACATGAACATGAACGCCGCCAACCCACCCCCGCTGGACACCCTCCGTCTGCGCGTCGAGGAAAGCGGTGCGGTGCCGCTCGCGGACGCGGAGGTGACGTTGCTTAGGTATGATTCTACTCTCCCTCCTTTCTTCTCCCTCCTTGCTTCCTTCTTGTTTCTTCTCCGCCTCCTTCCCTTCCATCCTTTCATTCATCCTCCCTCCTCGTTTCGTCCCTCCCTCTCTTATTCCTCTTCTCTCCTCCTCCTCCTCTCTCTCCTCTTCCCTCCCTCTCTCCTCTTCCCTCCCCTTTTCCATCGTCCTCCATCCCTTCCTTTCTCTCCCTTCTTCCCTCCATCTCCCTCCTCTATTATTCTCTCCTCGTCCTCCCTCCCTCCCCCTCTCCCTTCCCTCCTCTTCGTCCTCCCTCCTTCCCTCCCTTCTCGTTGCCTTCTCTGGTCTTCAATTTGCAGACACTAATCCTTGCGTTACAGCGACTGGCGCGCCCCCGCCGAAAACACACCCGTCGGCAAGGCGCGCGTACATTTCGTCGCGGGGGGGATGCTGGAGAAGCTGGTGGTTAATGTGTTGTTGGTTGCGTTTGTGCATTAGTCTGTTGCGTGGGGGTTCGTGCATTGGCTATGTCCGCATCGGGGGCTGCGCGAGTCAAGCAGGGGTGGAGAGCGGTGGATTGGTGGGGAGTGGTGAGTGGGGAGTGGTGGGTTGACCGCATGCTCATGTACTGGTTCAATTTGCAACATACTTATTATACTATACACGCTATCTGCATGTCTTCGGGTTTGACATTTTGTTTCAAGCGTGTAAGTAAATCGTGAAAGGTTTGAACGCGTTCTCCCAGTCTCGCAGGCACGGTCCGAAATACCAGCGTGCAGGAAAGAACACTAAAGAGCAGCGCAAAAAAATTGGGAGCAAAGATTAATATTGTAAGACTACGGCCTGATTCGAACAGACATCGGCCAACACATAACCGTCTCGGGTGTGTGTGGCACCACGGAGCCAGTATTTCCAAAAATTGAAGGATGTGCATACGTGCGCTTTAAAAACAAACTCTTGGCTTCATAACATGGGATTCAGACGTGGAATCCAGAACTCGATTATAGATGGGATTGCAGCGTTCCAGACAATTCAGTACTGGGCCAAATATGAGGGTATGACCCCGCTCGCAAGTACCAGCGCTCAAAACGCCTAAAACGTCGAAAAAATCAGACAAAAGAATCAGGCATATCACTATCCACGACCAAGCCCCGAATCGAACGGGTGACTCTGCTGAATTTTTTTATCTCCGTGAATGGAGAGCAGACACGGACCATCCGTTACCTAGTCGGTGGATTATCTGTGTTCTGCATGAATTTATCTAGACTATTGCAACTTTGTGAATGACGATGAATAAGGGGAAACAAAGCTCTATGACTCGGGCCCGAATTGAACCGGCAACGTTGCAGAAGATGTTCAGAAAATCAGACCGACAGATATCGTGCAGAGGCGGACCTTCCGCGATCGAGTCAATATTCATTGGGAATCGAGCTTGGATAAATGAAGTTCATTTAGGGACAGATAGGAGATCTCACCGGGATTCCTACATCCAGGAGAAGCAGTAGATCAAGAAGCATAGGTCCCCCGCCGAGGTTTCGGTTCGAGAATAATAGATCAACGGACAGCTTGCCAGACAGTGGGAAGGAACATTCCTGGTACCGTTTACGGAACCAGGTCTCAAAGTCGAGAAGCAAAATCACCGATCATACAGATCAATAGCATAACAAACCAAACTAATTAAATAAATAAACTGGCAATCAATCCCTATATGGAAATGCAGTGCACACAGATAAGGCATGATAAGTGGAATAAATTCCCGAGAGTGCATTCAAAGCCCTCACACAATTACTCTATGCTCTTCCATTGGTCTGTGAATAAATGCTCACCGAAGGCTAGGATTCGAATCAATGAACGCTGTCAGGGATATCTGGTTGAACCAAAGTTCAACGTTCAACTTCAGTTGCCAGCACGGCGAGTGGCAATTAAGCACTTTGCACTCCAGCTGGGATTATTCCAGGCCATGTGTTTCCCACGGAGGAAGGTGAAAGGAAGCAGTGGATACTGCATCGTTACAATCGGGGTAGTCGTCTGTGGAAGACAAGTAACATTTCCACGTCAACCCTTAGCGCATTCACCATCTCTAACTGTCACATCGAATTCTTCGACATTGCAGTACATCCGGGCGTCTCAAACTGTCTCTGACGTCGCCAAAGACAAGGAGAGTCTGCTTTGGAATCGATCAACAAAGGTTTTTCGTCCGTAAAGACCGAGAACAGTTTCTACGTTAAGCCATCTAGCATCCGCCGGCTCAATGTGAGCTGGTCGATGCTTGCGCGCACGCGCAAGCGGCGACCGGGCAAATCGTTGAGTAGGTTCAAGTACAACAATAAAATGCCGCATGTAATCCCGAACAAGACCCCGAATGGACTTGGAATGGACAGGCAGTGGACAGTATCCACTGAGCCCCAGCAACGACCAAGAAAATTATTGAGCAACTAAATAGAACAGTGTATTCCC